ACAACTCCTAGAAATCCCAGCCATTTTAACAACTGTTAGGATTTCTGGGGACCCACAGGTTGAGAACCACTGATTTATTTATTTATTTATTTATTTATTTGCAGTATTTGTATACTGCCCTTCTCAACCTTAAAGGGGACTGAGGGCGGTTCACAGTGTTGGCAACGATTCAATTCCATTGATAAAAAAATATATAAAACATCAAAATTGACCCTCTCCCGATAAAACATTAAAAATATTAAACACACCACATAAAATAACATCACGTATCACACAAAGACATAGCCGTTGTCTGTAAACAGTCCTAGGTCATTGCATTTTCAACTTTAAATATTCCTATGATGGGCTGAACGCTTGGTTCCACACCCAGATCTTTAGCTGTCTCCTAAAAGTCAGGAGGGAGGGGGCTGACCTGATCTCACTCGGGAGGGAGTTCCACAGCCGTGGGGCCACCACCAAGAAGGCCCTGTCCCTCGTCCCCACCAATCGCACCTGTGAGGCCAGTGGGGCCGAGAGCAGGACCTCCCCAGAAGATCTTAATCTACGAACTTACGATTTAACCCATTGCACTGCTGCTGCTCCTACATTTAACCATGATAACAGCAGCCCCTTTCAGTACTTCATCACACTAAAGAAGTAGTTCTCAACCTTTCTAATGCCGCGACCCCTTAATACAGTTCCTCATGTTGTGGTGACCCCCAACAATAAGATTATTTTCATTGCTACTTCACTACTCTAATTTTGCTACTGTTATGAATCGTCATGTAAATATCTGATATGCAGGATGCATTTCCATTCACTGGACCAAATTTGGCACAAATACCGGATACGCCCAAATTTGAATACTGGTGGGGTTGGGGGAAGGAATTGATTTTGTCATTTGGGAGTTGCTGGGATCTATAGTTCACCTACAATCAAAGGGCATTCTGAACTCCACCAATGATGGAATTGAACCAGAACTCTCATTGCCAACAGAAAACAATGGAACGATCTGGTGGGCACTGACATTGAGTTTGGGAGTTGTAGTTCACCTACATCCAGAGGGCACCATGGACTCAAACAGTGAATCAAACTTGACACAAATATTCAATATGCCCCAATGTGAACACTGGTGGAGTTTGGGGGAAATAAACCTTGACATTTGGGAGTTGTAGTTGCTGGGATTTATAGTTCACCTACAATCCAAGAGCATTCTGGACCCCGCTAATGATAGAATTAGGCCAAACTTCCCACACAAAATCCCATGACCAACAGAAAATACTGCGTTTTTTCATGGTCTTTGGCACCCCCTCACGACCCCCCCAGGGGTCCCGACCCCCAGGTTGAGAAACACTGCACTAGAGAATGAATCCACTTAAAATCTGGTTGCTGCCTCCTGCAGAATTCTGGGGTTTGTAGTTTAGGGAGGAGCCTTTAACAATCCCACTAAACAACAAACCCCAGAATTCTGCAGGAGGCAACAACCGGATTTTAAGTGGATTCATTCTCTAGTGTGATGAAGAGTCCTGTTTACTTGGGGTTGATGCAATACCTATGATGGATCAGTCAACCAGCAAAACAATGTAGGGTCTTGGCATATAATAAGCTTCCTTCTTTCTTTATGCTTTCTTTCCGCCAACAGATGTGTTGCTTAATGTACTGCTGTTTGAAATATTACATCCACGAGGAGAGGAAATGTAAGTCAGCCCAATACTGTTTTTGAAAGACTACATTTCTCACATTTCATGACTCTTCCAACTAACTATGCAACTTTGGCATTGCATTATGGTAATTTCCCACTTATAGGGAAATAACAAATAAGATGATGTTTTAGATGTCCTGGTTCGCATTTCATTATCGCAAACATTGAATAGAAAATGAGTATTAAACTAGCATTTGCAAGAACCAGAAGGGAATTCATCTTGAGTGTGAGCTGGTGCTGGTGGTTGTATAAAATCATTCAGTTGTTTTTATTTCCTCAAACCTTTTACATGGGTCTTAAAAAAACAGCAAGAGAAGGAGATAAAAATTGAGTTTTTTTGCCATTCTTTTACCTTGAGACTATAGGAGCCAGTTGCAAAATCAATAACGGCACTGTGCAAACAACTTCGCTAAATAAAATTGATCTAGTAAGGTATCGACACCAATCTCAAAGACTTTACTACAGAGGCCATTCAGAATTTACCCTCTGGATCTATATGCTGTTTGAGAGGGTATTTTTTTTCAAAAAAACCCACTGCTGCGAAGGAATAGAAGCTCTCTTGTGTAAAAATAATACTTGGATTCTTTAACGTTTCTAGTTCAATCAGTGCCATTTTCCTACATTGCTTTGAAGATGAGAATGAAAAACCTTTAGGGTACACTTCAAAACGAAGGCTCTTTTCAACTTGCACTTCAAGCTTTTGGTCAATATAATTGCTTTCACTGAACAAGACTTTTAATCAGAACCATCATATTAACTTAATCGTGGAACTGGAAGCTGTACCCAGGACAAGCCAAGTCTTTCACAGCATCATAAACCACATCTCTGGGGTAATAAAATGTAACCTCATATTCTGGGGAAGGGATTTTTTCCCCTAAAACTTAAACCGTCCCTAACGGATGTTTATTCAGAGCAGTCTAAAGAAACCTCTGATGAAGACTCTATCCATTTCCCCTCGCTGGCAGTAAACAACAATTGCTTTTCCATTGTCTGCGAGGCAGGCTTTTAATATTTCAAGACCTATCAGGAGAACTCTCTCTCCCCATCTTTTTCTCTCAGGCAAACACAGTCCATTACATTTTTTTTCTCACACCAAAGGCTTTCTCGTTTGCTCATTTTTCCCCTGACAGATTTCTTAAAAAGTAGTGCCCCAGACTTGGAAGAAATACTCCAGTGGGACAGCAGGTTCAGACTTGTCATTAGTTTGCCATCTGAAAACAAAGTCTGCTCTCATACTAGAGCTTAAAAATACAATTTTCCTGCTTTCCTATGCAAGGTAAGTACTTGGGAGGAGGGGATCCTATTAAGGTGAAGGTGTTTGGAGATACTACGAGGAAAAAGAGAAGTTATTTAAGTTACTACTTCTAGGGGAAAGCCAAGAATGGGCAACTTGGAAGTCCCTGAACAGACTCAGAAGAGGAGTGGGCAGATCAAAACAACCTGGCAAAACAGATTTATTTATTTATTTATTTGCCATATTTATATACTGCCTTTCTCAGCCCGAAGGCGATTCAAGGCAGTTTACAGTTGGCAATCAATGCCCCCAACAACATAAAATATAATTAAAAACATTAACATATAATATAAGCCATATGAAATAGTAGAAACAACAAAACAATACAAACACAAGTCCTCAGCGTCATTATTAAAATCATTTTCCAGCTGCATCGGCCAAACACTATCTAGAACTGTATTTCTCAACCTTCCTAATGCCACGACCCCTCAATACAGTTCCTCGTGTTGTGGTGACCCCCAACCATAAAATTATTTTCGTTGCTACTTCATAACTGTAATTTTGCTACTAATATGAATTGTAATGTAATTATCTGATATGCAGGATGTATATTAATTCACTGGATGAAATTTGGCATAAGTACCCAACACACCCTAATTTGAATACTGGTGGGGTTTGGAGGTGGGGGTGGATTTGATTTTGTCCTTTGGGAATTGAAGTTACTGGGATTTATAGTTCACCTACAATCAAAGAGCATTATGAACTCCACCAACTATGGAATGAACCAGACTTGGCACACAGAACTCCCATGACCAACAGAAAATACTGGAATGATTTGGTGGCCATTGACCTTGAGTTTTGGAGTTGTAGTTCACTTGCATCCAGAGGGCACTGTGGACTCAAACAATGATGGATCTGGACCAAACTTGGCACGAATACTCGATATGCTCAAATGTGAACACTGGTGGAATTTGGAGAAAACAAACCTTGGCATTTGGGTATTTGGGCATCGTAGTTGCTGAGATTTATAGTTCACCTACAATCAAAGAGCATTCTGAACCTCATCAACGACAGAATTGGGCCAGACTTCCCACACAGAACCGCCATGACCAACAGAAAATACTGTGCTTTGTGATGGTCTTTGGTGACCCCTCTGATAGTGTTTTGGAAATAACGGAACTCCTTACCACCCTAAGGAGCCCTGACCCCCAGGTTGAGAAATGCGGACCTAGAAGAATCCTCCACCTTGTGCAACTGGACCTCACAACCTCTGAGGATGTCTGCCATAGATGCAGGTGAAACATCCGGAGAGAATGCTTCTAGAACATGACCATAGAGCCCAAAAAACCTACAACAACCCAGTTTAATTTATTATTTCCAAGCACTGACCTGTAATTTAAAACATTAGATGGTGGAGCAGAGGAGACTTGGGTTGGTCAAGTCCCAGATATTATCCCACTAAAGGTGAGTATATTATTGTATTTACTTCTAGTGAACATGGGCTCCAGAGCAAGTTGTTGCTGCTCGTGTGAAGCAGTTCTTACCACAGTTTCAGCCATAGTGGCAAGCTAAATAACATGTGCCATACACCAGTCAATTTGTCCAGGTGCCATTTTCAAAGCGCTATACCTTTAGCTATTTGACCTGGTAGTGTGACCCTGTCCAGTTCCCCAAGCTGCCAGGCAATAGCGATGAAGCAGAAAGAATCTCCCATAGATTTTTGCAATGGCAGATGAGTACAAACCACTAGTAAATATCAGTACTGGAAACCGCTTGGCTGTTGCAGTCTTTCACTGCTTCCCTAACTTGGAACAAAGGTCTACAGAGGAAAGCCTAGCCTGGAAAGCAGCAGAATTCAGCAGGAAAATAAAGAATATCACTTCAAAACACTCCACAATTGCTTTCAGGAGCTGCCCAGTGTTGCTTTGCTTCAAGCAGGTTCTGTAGGGAAGAAGAGACAACCCCCCCCCCCCCCCCCCCCCCCCCCACACACATTTTATTTCTGTGCTCAAACCACTTCACACTTCGTGAATCTTTAAAGATAGTCATGCCTTGAGTTCTAGCATATTTTTGGCGGCTACCTACCAGATCAAAAGAAAGGCTCTCCTTTGTCATTGCGTTGACTTCAGGGAGGCGAGCTTTAGCTTGGGCTTTAATGTAGCATCTCTCTCCTCCAGCAAAACGGATTCCAGTTATGCCCTACAAAGCAAGACTGTGGTTATTATGATAAGAGTTGAAGTACCCCCCGACTTCCAAAACACAAAGGAGCTCTTTTAACACCGAAGTCGTGTGGAATGGCTGATCTTATAGCTGTAGGCATACCGGGATAAAATGATGTTTTATGGATTTTTTTAAAAAAGCAGGGGGCTGATAAACAACTCTTTATAGTCTATTTTTGATTAAAAACATGCTCATCCAGGTGGAGCATGGTGTGCACACACAAATGCACATTTACAGAAACAGGGAGGAAACTCTTGCACACACAGCGTGACCTACTGGGCACGTACACATCAAGCAACGAAGAAGCTGGAAAGTGAACATCTGAGAACTAATCCTTCAAAGGCTCTGGGAAATCATATTTACCAGGAGTCCCTTCACAAGAATAGCACTGTATTCCACTTAAACTGCCATGTTTTCATTTTATGCAAATCTGGAATTTGTAGTTTAGGGAGAGACATTTAGAATTCTTAGCCAGAGGATTGTTCTGGTGCCTTTAACCAAACTCTGCGATTCTGTAGGGTGTAGCCATGGCTGTTAAAGTGCAATGATAGCACTGCAACTGTGTAGCGTGAATGAGCCCCAGATACTAAATACTGCATTTCTATAGGGCAGGGGTCCTCAAACTAAGTTCCGGGGGCCGGATACGGCCCTCCAATGTAATTTACCCGGCCCTCACTCAGGTTCAACCTAAGTCTGAAATGACTTGAAAGCACACAACAACAACAATCTGATCTCATCAGCCAAAAGCAGGCCCACACTTCCCATTGAAATACTAATAAGTTTATATTTGTTTAAATTGTTCTTCATTTTAATTATTGTATTGTTTTTAAGTGTTTTTTGCACTACAAATAAGATGATCCAGATGTCTGGCCAGTTCTGTAATGTGATGGCATTTATTGCTCTCAGGTTTAAAATGAAACATTTCCCCAATTTGTGGAAGGAGCAAAAAGTACCCTTGTTAGGAAAAGCATTACCTTTTCCTCACTGAGTTTTTACTTTGCCAGAACTATTTCTATTATTATTATTATTATTATTATTATTATTATTATTATTATTCTGACACAAAAGCACAGTATGTCACAGCAAACGAGATCTATATGCTGGATTTCATATCACAAAATCACAAGTCGAACACTTCCCAAGTGTCTAGGACTGTGTGATGTATTTTCGAATGATGCACGCAGATCCAAGTAAGGTGGCCTTTTGCAGTTGACAGATCGTGATTTTGTCGATGTTTATTGTTTCCAAATGCCGGCTGAGATCTTTTGGCACGGCACCCAGTGCGCCAATGACCACTGGGACCACCTGTACTGGTTTATGCCAGAGCCTTTGCAGTTCGATTTTGAGGTCTTGATAATGGCTGAGTTTTTCCTGTTGTTTTTCCTCAATGCGACTGTCACCTGGTATGGCGACATATTATTTGAAACACAACAAGATGAGTGCACAGCAAACAAGATCACTCTGCTGGCTGATTGTTGTTGTTGTTGTTGTTATACCATGTCTCCATGCTGTGCAATCCTAGGACTCATAGTTTTCCAAGGTCCATACCCTTCTCTTGGTACATTTACAGTATGGAATGAATGCCCTTGCACCCCACTTTAAACGCCATGGCTCCATGCGATGGAGTCCTTCTGGGAGTTATAGTTTCCCAAGGTCCATACCCTTCTCTGGGTGCATCTACACTGTGGAACGAATGCAGTTGGACCTTACTTGAAATATCATAGCTCAATACTATGCAGCCCTGGGAGTTATAGTTTTCCAAGGTTCACACCCTTCTCTGTGGGGCAGCCGAGAGAGAGAGAGAGGGAGAGAGAATGCTCATCACCACTTTCTCTCTCTCCCTCCCTGCTTCCTTGCTTTTGGAATTGAAGACACATAACAGCTGACATTTCAAAGAGAGGAGGGGTCCCCCCCCCCCACAAAGAACAAAGGGAAAGGATGGTGGGCAGTGCCTAACTATTACAGTGTGGTGGCAAATCTACTGAAAGAATGCTGAATACAACTGAGTAACACTGATACATTTAACAGTGTGATGAAGGTAGGGAAATCATCTGTTTCATTTCAAAACTGAGTATGACTGAGCTCTACTCTACCAAACATTTTCCAGCTTCAATGTGATAAAGTCCTGAGATTATTATTTCCAAAGCAGTACCCATAATCATAGTACTTTACAAGAGATGAATGTCTTACGGCATTCAGCATAAGAACAAGAAAGACAGATAGCCTTATCAAAGACAGGACATGTACACTGGCCAATTAACATGATAAAGTAAAAACAGATTTAATCTTTACATATAAAATACCTTTTTTATCTCTTCAGAGAAACAGTAAGATGTGGTAATTGTGAGACAGACACATCTTTTTGTGAGATTACCTACTGACCTTCTGTCAGACATTACTGTAAAAACAGAAGCATTAAAATTGTATTTTGGGAATCCCTGGGACATTTTGAAGCTTATCTTTTCACTGGGAAGAATAGTAAGAGAAAAGAAGTGTCTATGAAGGATAGTTTGCCAAATACCTCCACAACTTCCCATGCAATGAACAGTTGCAAAAAAGGGGTACTGCATATGCACTATTCATGCGGAACAATAAAAGCTTGGCCAGTACATGATGCGATTGGGGCATTTTCTATCTTGCAGAAGTGTCTGCAAAGACAAACAAATATAGAGTTACCCATGAAGACATCTTAATAGATGGAAAGATCTTCTGACAGCTTAAAACATGGCAACAGACTATCCCAAAAGTGGACATAATAGCTTCTTTAAGTGGAAACAAGAGAGACAAATGAAGTTATTAATGAAGCTCAACATATTTTGATAAGTCTTCTTCCTCAAAGGTGCATGCACACCATTCGGAAAAATCAAAAGCAGACTCATAAACAACAACTCGCTCTTTTATTCCTTTTGTAATAATATATTTCCCAAGTCCTCTTCATATTTCAAATTCCTCTCCAATGCACCTTTATCAAAACATGCTGGGTCTCATTAAATGGCTTCTTCTGCCACTGAGAGTTCTTCTAAAAAAATTGTGTACTAATGCATACTTTTCCTGAGTAGTATGTCTTTGATTTAAATTAAACATAATCCACAATACTTACAATCTGAAAATCATGAACTTCAACAGCTTCTTCACCACCACTTCCAGTTTTAAAGGTCTCCAGGTTGTTCCCAGCATCTATTTCCATCAATCCTTCCTGAACGTTCCCATTAATACTCATCGTGTAGTGGACATTATAAACCTGGAAACAAAACAAAATCCTTTAAATGATGTTCAAACCAGCATAGCACTACCGATATGTGTTTTTTTTTCCTACAAGCTACAAAGAGGCTAACAGTGTCTCTTCCTGGATGATCAAAAATGGTCTTGAGTGTCAGATGAGGGGACGCTGATCTATTTTTCGTGGCGATTTTAACAGCCATGCCGATGTCTTTCTGGGGCAGCTCTCAATTTGTTACTGTTCCAAGACATGTGATGGATGGATTCTTGGATTTTTATTCTTGATTGCATTAACGGAGTGTAGCCGAGATATTGAACAGTTTCATTCACTTCCACTGCCATATTCACAGTTAAGATTTAGACTCTCAGAATTGTCAGTGAACTATTTCCTTGCAGATACAGTTCCTCTGATGTCTTCCTAGCACTACAGTGGAAGTTAGGGTCTGTCCAGACAGGAGCTTTATTGCGGTATCTACTGCAATAAAGGAGGGTCTGTCCAGACAACATTCTGTACAATCCCAAATTAATTCGCTACAAACCAGGAAAAGCCCCCCCCCCCCACGTCATTTCTACACACTGGGAGAGCTGGCCGAGGCCTGTAATGGAGGCCGGGTAAGTTTTCATTACTTTTCTAAGGGGTCTGGGGGCTGGGGAGGGGGTAGGGCCTCCAGACGTTCTACAGGGCTAGTCCCAGGAGAATGTCTGGACAAGCGTGCGCTTTCTGGGGTGCGCGCTTTCTGGGGTGGGTGTGGACAGGCCCCCAGGAAAATCTGCATTTTTAAAATGCGGATTCTCCTAGGATAAAGGCCTGTCTTAATCCGCCTTGGTGGGACCTGTTTGTTTCTGAGCACCTTTGAATGTCTTCTTAGGCCCTGTCTATGCTACCATATAATCCAGTTTCTGAATCCAGATTATCTGCTTTGAACTGGATTACATGGCAGTGTAGACTCATATAATCCAGTTCAAGTCAAATAATCTGTATTCAGAAACTGAATTCTGTGGCAGTGTAGATCCAGTCCTAGTAAGCATGGAAGGCAAATCCTAGATGTACTTTGGGATACAGAGATAACTCGGGAAGATGAATGATCAGCTTTTAGCACTTTCTGCAATGTAGAGGCTAAAAAGGTACAAATATAGTTTGGTATAGGTACTCTATAGTTTGTTTACAATCAGTGGTTCCCAACCTTTGGGCCTCTAGGTGTTTGGACTTCAGCTCCCACAGTTCCTAAGAGCTGGTAAGCTGGCTGGGATTTCTGGCAGTTGAAGTCCAAAACACCTGGAGGCCCAAAGGTTTACACCACTGGTTTGCGTGGTAACATTATATAAATTAACTCTGTATTACAAGGATTTTTTGTGTGTGTCAGGAGCAACTTGAGAAACTGCAAGTCGTTTCTGGTGTGGGAGAATTAGGCCTGTCTGCAAGGACGTTGCCCAGGGGATGCCCAGATGTTTTACCATCTGTGGGAGGCTTCTCTCATGTCCCTCACATGGGAAGCTGGAGCTGACAGGTAGGCGCTCACCCCACTCCCCAGATTTGAACCGCCAACCTTTTGGTCAGCAGTCCTGCCTGCATAAGGGTTTAACCCATTGCGCCACGGGGGCTCCTTATTACAAGAATGACCCCGTGTAAGACTTGGGCCCTTTTGCTCATATGTTCCTCCCTCTTCCCTATTCTTGAACAATATCCTTTGTTTTTGCTCTCATTTTTAATGAATATCCAAGTCCACAAACTGCACTGAATCTTAATTAACCATGTATTCCAAAGCTGAGTTTTAATAAACGTTGAGATTATTAGTTAAGATTAACATTATTAAAGTTATTAAGATTAACTACAGTCTAGGGCCCGTATTTAGCACAAAACTGCTGTTAATGAGAAATAAATGTGGAGGCTTCCAAATTGATCTTTGCAGAGGAGGAAACCCAGAATATAAAAAAAATGGAAACAAGAGAATGCACAAAAATATTATAGACTTCCTACAAAAGAGAGAAAGCTTCAATTCCTGAGTATACTAAAACTCTCAAGTACTAGAAGAAATGGGGAAGGCAAACTAAAAATACTCACAAACGTTCCTGGTCATAATACGTAGTATACCATGATTAAATTGTATTTGTGAGCACAATCTGTTACACTGTAAATCTTACTGTAACCATGAAATTCGGTTGCTGTGAGTTTTCCGGGCTGTATGGCCATGTTCCAGTAGCATTCTCTCCTGACGTTTCACCCACATCTATGGCAGGCATCCTCAGAGGTTGAGAGGTCTGTTGGAAACTAGGCAAGTGAGGTTTATATATCTCTTGTCTGCTTGAGGCAAGTGTGAATGTTGCAATTGGCCAGCTTGATTAGCATTGAATGGCCTTGCAGCTTCAAAGCCTGGCTGCTTCCTGCCTGAGGGAATCCCTTGTTGGGAGGTGTTACCTGGCCCTGATTGTTTCTTGTCTGGAATTCCCCTGTATTCCCCTGAGTGTTTCTCTTTATTCACTGTCCTGAGTTTGGAGTTTTTATACTGATAGCCAGATTTTGTTCATTTTCATGGTTTCTTCCTTTCTGTTGAAATTGTCCACATGCTTGTGGATTTCAATGGCTTCTCTGTGTAGTCTGACATGGTGGTTGTGAGAGTGGTCCAGCATTTCTGTGTTCTCAAATAATATGCTGTGTCCAGGTTGGTTCATCGGGTGCTCTGCTATGGCTGACAAAACCTATGTGACAAAACCTACATATCATAGGCATAAGGTTTGGGAACCCACTGCACACCCACCTATGTGTATGTGCAGAAGTCCAATTTTGAATATGTTTTTCATTTTATGACTAGTAGCACCTTCTATCATGCTTTGACTATAAAACAGGCAGGAGGGAAGAAATTTCCATCCTGGAATGGGCGGAAAATAAAATGCCTGAATAATTTGGCAAATCCCCAAGAATAAATCTTTAGTCGGCTTGTGTTTCCTGTTCAACCTTTTCTGGCTGAATTATAAATGAAACTTGACAGAATAAGGGAAGGCTTATTTTGCGTTCAAAATGGAAACATTTGGACCGTCAGCGTTTACACACACTGTTTAGTATTTAATGCTTTACTTTAGGAGTAGTCACAATCCAAGATTCATTAAATACATCACAGAAACGTCTTTTGTGCTCTGGATTGCATCCTTCTCAGAGAAACACACGGCTGAATTATGAGAGCCAAGTCTGAAGAAACCGCATGATCCAGCAGCTTAGATGCAGCTGAGCAGGTTAAATCTGAAATACTCCAAACTTGCTCACATGGGTGGTTGAGATAATGACACCTTTGCTTTCTAATGTACACAAACTTTGTTTAATGCACAAAAATATTACAAAATATTGTGTATCAAATCACCTTCGAACTCTCAATATGAGGTATATAAGGTAAAAGGTAAAGGTTTTCCCCTGACGTTAAGTCCAGTCATATCCGACTGTCGGGGGTTGATGCTCATCTTCATTTCTAAGCTGAAGAGCCGGCATTGTCCGTAGACACCTCCATGCAGTCATATGGCCTGCATGACTGCATGGAGCACTGTTACCTTCCCGCTAGAGCGGTACCTATTGATCTACTCACATTTGCATGTTTTCGAACTGCTAGGTTGGCAGAAGCTGGGGCTGACAGCGGAAGCTCACACCGCTCCCTGGATTCGAAAATGTGATGTTTCAGTCAACAAGTTTAGCAGCTAAGCAGTTTAACCCATTCCACCACTGGGGGCTCCATATAAGGTATATATGAAACATAAACAAATTTCATATAAAGGCTTGGATCCCATCTCCAGGATCTTTTTATGTATATATATGCCAATTGATGTATTCTAAAACCTGGGGAAAAATCTGTAATCCAACACATGCCTGATCCCAAGCATTTGGATAAGGATACTCAACCTGTGCTAGGAGGATTCAGAAGTGTTGTAATGATGACTTTTCCATCCAGCATATCTTCTTTATTTCTATCAATTGCATTCGTTTGAATTACTAGATGCATCCTTTAATGGTTTTCTTTTCCTTCTTCTTTTATAAGGACTCAAGGAATCATACTTTCCTCCAGATTCAGTTTGACTACAAATGGTTACACTCTTCACATCGAAAAGAGGACACCACTGTGTCTAAAAATAGCATTCTAGAGTAGTGGCAAGCCCACGCATGATGTTACTCATTATATCAGCTTCCATCTTAAGTTTATGTACTGACAATTTCGGGTCATATGCCTACAAAGCAGGACTGAGGAACTTTATGGCTTTCTAGGTGGGTCATAAATGTGATCATTAGCTATGTATGTTGGCTATGTATGTTGGCGAAAGCTGAGAGCAACTTCATCTAGATCATGTATGGACAAACCCAGGCCCAGGGCCCGATGTGGCCCCTTGGTCCTTCTCTCTCTCACTGTCCTATCCTACCCTATCCTTCCTTTTTTTCTTTCCTTCCTCCTTCTCTCCTTCCCTCGCCTCCTTCTTTCTCCTTCCCTCCTTCCTTCCCTTCCACCCTTTCATCCTTCCTTTCTTCCTTCCCTCTTTTCTCCCTCCTTTCCCTCTCTCTTTTCCTTCCTTCCTTCCTTCCTTCCTTCCTTCCTTCCTTCCTTCCTTCCTTCCTTCCTTCCTTTTTGTCTTTCCTTCCTTCTCTCTTTTCTTACTCCTCCCTCCCCTTCCCTCTTCCTTCCTTCTCTCTTCCTTCCTTCCCTCCCTTCCTTCTTCCTCCTTCCTTCCTTCTTTCCTTCCTTCTCTCTTTCCTTCTCCTTCTCCTTTCTCTTCTCCTTCCTTCCTTCCTTCCTTCCTTCCTTCCTTTCCTTCCTTCCTTCCTTCCTCCCTTCCTCTTCCTTTCCCTTTCTTTCCTTCTTTTCTCTTCCTCCTTCCCTCCCCTTCCTTCCACCCTCTTCCTTCCATCCTTCTCTTTTTCATTCCTCCTTTCCTCCTGGGGGATGTTTAGCTGGGAGAAGAGAAGCTAGAGAGGGCACATGAGAACCATGTTTCAAGATTTTAAAGGGTGTCCCATTGAGAAGGAGGGAGAAAACCGACTTTCTGCTGTTCTAGAGACCAGGACACAAGGAAGCAATGGGTTCAAATCGCAGGGAAAGAGATTAGACCAAAAAGATTCGGAAAAACTTCCTGAGAGTAAGAGATGTTGGAGAGTGGCATAGGTTGCCTGGGAGTGTGATGGAATCTCCTTCTCTGGAAACTTTTCAGCATAGGCAGTCTATTCGGAGTTCTTTGATTGTGTCTTTCTGCATGGCAGGGGATTGGACTGGATGGCCCTTGGGGGTCTCTTCCAGCTCTAGAATTCTAGGATTATATATCAGGAGTAGATAATATGGAATGTAAAGGATACATCTTTTCTCTCCCATCCACCATCTCATTCTGACCAAGGTCAATCCTTTTGGGATCCAAACGTTTCCCATCTTTCCTTCACTTTCTGCCTCAAAAGAGAAGAGGAAGGGGAGGAAAGGCCAGGGAGGGGACTTGGGGAGAACCCCCTCCCTTCCAGCCCACCCACCCTGTTCCGGCCCGCCATGCAGCCCCAAAGTTAGAAAGTTTTTCTGTGTCTTATCCAGATGGTCAACTTTTCCATCCCTGACACGAGAGAAATATTTTGTAGCTCAGAGTGTATCACATGATCTCATACAGTTCTTCCATGGAAAAATGTATGTAGAACCATACTTTCCAGGTTTATTTATTTACGATATTTATAGCCTGCCTTTCTCAGCCTTATGGCGACTCAAGGCGGGTTACAGGTTGGCACAATTTGATGCCATACATACATAAAAGTGCAATTTAAAACCATCAACAATATAAAAACATATATAAAAACCATTAAAACACCTTATCATTGGTGTCATCTTGTTCAAAATGTTTCCAGTAACATCATCTAGCCATTCCATGTTCATCAATTCATAGTTCCGTGTTATCTATTAAGTTTAGTTTTTACAGAATGAATATAGTTCTGATCTCAACATGTGTTTTCTTTAGTTATATGACTACATAAGTAGTCAAATTACTTTCCACCACTTACAAGTGAATTAAAATTATACTTTTCTGGAAATCAATATAGCAATTAAAAAGGAGATAAAGGATATTTAAAAAATCAAGACAAAAAAATCAGGAGACAGAGGGCCCTTTAACTGTCCTTATATCCCAGGATCTGATCCCAGATTATCTGCTTATCCCAGATTTTATGGCAGTGGAGGCACATAATCCAGTTTAAAGCAGGTAACGTGGGGTGAGATCCTGGGATATAAGGACAGTGTAGAAGGGGCCAGAGAGTAGAAAGAATAAAAGCCAAGGCCCGCTCACACTATCTAATTGTAGCCTTATACTCCACTTTAATCACCAGGGCAACAGTGTATGAGATCATGGCATTTGCAGTTTAGGAAGGAGAACGCTAATGCCTCATAAGACAATGTTGCCATGGCAGTTAAAGTGGAATATAGTGCTAAAATGAGGTAATGTGAAAGGGCTCCTGGAGGGGAACCAAACCAAAAGGAGATCCACTACAGGGAACTAAGCAAAGGCAAGAGAAGGAGTCAAACTATCAATGGCTAACAGTTGGGTATACGGGGCACTAATAATTTTGACTTCACAAAACAGAACAGAAATGCCCTGTTGTGGCAAAACAGAGTGTAACTGCCAAATAAAAAAACTGAATCCAAGAGACAGACTCCTGAAAGAGTGTTTAGGCCTCTATGAGTAACTTCAAAGATGATTGACAGTAGAAGACAATATGTGGACACGTACAAAGGCAAGCACAACATTTTCTTGCCTGAAAAGAATGAACAAACATTCATTTCTCCAAAATCAATGGATACAGTATTGCAGTGCCACTGACACCTGGGCCATAAAATGCCACAAGGGTCTCCCTTGGGTTTAGAGATAAAAATACAATAAATTAATATTATATGATATTAATGCAATATTAAATTGGTAAAATATTAATATTTAATATCACTTTTATGAAATGTATTAGAAGTCCTATTAAATATTAAATTAAATTAAAGGATTATTAGTTATATAATTAACTGAACAATTAAGAATTTGTTGCTCTTTTGGAATGTCTGGGACAGCTATTTTACTCTTCCTATGGCCCCTCCACACAGCCAATATTCTGATATTAAGGCAAAAAACCCACATTATCTGCTTTGAACTGGGTTATCTGAATCCATACTGACATATATTCCAGTTCAAAGCAGATAATATGGGATTTTATTCAGCTGTGGAAGCGGCCCTAATGAAAAGTCTTTTGAAAAGAAAAAAACATGCTAACTATTGGGAAAATATCTCCTATTTTCCAAGAAACAGCTGCTAGACTATAGACTTCTATGGTTGAAACAGCAGTTGCAGATGAAATAGTGCTCTTCTCGCCACCTGTAATACTGACCTTAGATTCTACAATTCAATTAAAGTGTTTCAAATACATCCCTGTCAGAAAGAACATCAAGCCTAAAGGAAGTCTTTGGCTCCTTACCTCTTTGTCATTCCCCTTCCAATAGTAAAAGGCTCCAATAGCTCCAAAGAGGATAAGGATGGCTCCTCCAATGAGCACGATAGCCCCGATCCTAAGAAGCCGTCCTGTGCTAGAGGGCTTTGCTATCACAGCTGAATATGCCTGTAAACAAGGGAAGAACAGGTTAAGGTGGTAGAAAGGGGTGGCAAGAGGAAATAATAGTAATAGTAGTAGTAGTAGTAGTAGTAGTAATAATAATAATAATAATAATAATAATAATAATAATAATACACTTTATTTATATTCTGCTTTATCTCCCCGGAGGGACTCAGAGCAAATTACAGTATACACATACAAGGCAAACATTCAATGCCTATTACACAGTGAACAACAACAACATACAATACACAGACAAAGGTAAAGGTCATCCCCTTTCATCTCCAGTGTCTGGAGGCGATGTTCAACTTCGGCCATAGGGAGGTGCTCTTGTTCCATTTTCCCATGCCAAGGAGCCTGTTGTCTGTAGACATCTCCAATCGTACTGCAGGCATGTCTCCATGTGGCATCCTTTTCCTTCCTGCTGAGGTGGTACCTATTGATCTACTCACATTGCATGCTTTTGAACTGATAGGTTGGCGGAAGCTAGGGCTAACTTGTGGCTTTGAACTACTAACCCTTTGGTAGGCAGATTTCCTGTAGCTAGTGGTTTAACCCGCTGCGCTACTGCATCCCCTTAAGAAGCTCTGGTCTAAATCACCCAAGGGCAGATCTGGTGCTCGCCACTCCATATTGGCCCCAGGTTAAGTGATCAGTGTAGAATCATACAAAAATTGTTTTCTGGACAGTGACTTCAAGGATCTCAGAGTGAGCTGGGAGAATATGGGTACTGTGGGCCAAATATAAACAAAGAAAAGAAAAAGAAAGAAAAGCAGAACTTCCCAAAGTTGAGCTAGAATCCATGGTATCATGGGATCAAATCCCCAGTGACTCTTCCTGTTGCAACCCAGACTTGGAGGAATAATCTAAAGCAGGTTTAGTAGCAGGTGATATCCACACAGGAACCCAAATGTCTCATGAAAGTCCAAAGATCACATAGTCCAGAAATAGCAAAAAGTCTCAAATGTAGCATAAATTCATAATCAACTGATTCCCTAGAAAACTTGAGCAAGAATCATGAAACAAGATTATAAAAACCTTCAAAGATACTTAAATCCAAGAACAGTCCTTGACTTGACACAGGAACCCGGGCCTAGGTTCTTTCTCTAACACCAACGTTGCCTGAACTGAAGGAGGGTAAGTAACTGGCTGCTAATAAATAGACATAAAGTCATGGTGTTTCTCACAGACCTTCTCTATCTGTTTCCCACACAACCGTGCTGCTCTACAGAGCAACCAAAGATCCTTGCGCAACTTCGTACCGCCAGATGTTTTCTCGTGAGAACTTTCTGTTAATTCATCTTCACTCAACCCCTTATCTAAGAATGCTGCTTCTGACTCCTGTTACTGACCTTGGAGCTCATCCGCCCTGTCTGAGACAATTAAATTCTCTTGGTCTGCATCGCTATCTGAAACAATTTCATTCCCTTGGTCTGTATCACTTTGAATCCCAGGAAAGCCCACAATCTAATTCATCAGGAGACCCATTGCCCCCTGGCTGTTGTGAGCTACAACATTTCCTTTCACAGGAGGTGTTTTATCCCTGCATTTCTCTCCATGCTTATAAGAGAGGAGTTGCTTGTTCCTTTCCCTTCACTTACTAACCCACAGAAGCCAAAAAGCCTTTGCCAGGACTATTTACAGTGGAGATACATTCCTTTCTGCTCCTTGTTCCAAGTAGGGCTGCCAGGTAAAAACCTCAAGAGGCATTCACAGCATTTGCCATTAGGCACAGCCCCATGGCTTGAATGTTGGGTTCAAATCTCATTGAAACCATGCAAACGTCCTAGGTAGCTTTGGAGACAGCTAGCCAAGATAAATAACCACAATTTCTATTGGCCAACACAATTTTAAGCTATGTTTACTCAGAAGTCAGTCTCATTGCATTGAGGCTTTTGCAGAAGTACTATCACAAACTATCCCAGCAATATAGGTGAAACTTTAAGGCTTGAGAATGCATGATACACAAATGAGGTAGATGGATACCAGAGGGCTGCTTTCTTTAAAAGGAGAGTCTTGCACTGTTTGTATTGTGGAGCCCCAGGTGGTGCGGTGGGTTAAATCCTTGTGCCAGCAGGACTGAAGTCAACAGGTTGGAGGTTCAAATTTGGGGAGAGCGTGGATAAGCTCCCTCTTTCAGCTCCAGTTTCCCATGTGGGAAAATGAGAGAAGCCTCCCACAAGGATAGTAAAACATCAAAACATCCGGGCAACGTCCTTGCAGATGGCCAATTCTCTCACACCAGAAGTGACTTGCAGTTTCTCAAGTCACTCCAGACACACAAAAAAATCATCAAGTGCCACATGAGCTGAATCTGACTGTGGCGGTATGCTCCCTCAAAGAACTCTGACCCAAGATTTTCTTCCAGAGAGTGTTCTTTATGTCCACTAATATCTCCTGCACAATCGAGAACTTTCCTTGATCTGGCTACCAGAACAAGATACCCTTTTGGGCGGAGGTAATGTGTGTTCCTTGCTTAAGAAAATCCTATGAGATCCATGGGGTCTCCGTAAGTCGACAGGTTAGCTTGGAGGCACAGACAAACATACAATGAGATTTTAGGAATAGATCATATATCTGCATCTTAAAGTACTGGTGTCAAGCCACGTTTACGACAAATAGACAAAACTTCAAAAGGTAACGGCTTTCCCCTGACATTGTCTAATTGTGTCCGACTCCAGGGAGGATGGTGTTCATCTCCATTTCTAAGCTGAAGAGCCGGCGTTGTCCGTAGACCTCCAAGGTCATGTGGCCAGCATGACTGCATGGAGTGCCATTACCTTCCCACAGAAGCGGTACCTATTGATCTACTCAATTTGCATGTTTTTGAACTGCTAGGTTAGTAGAAACTGGGCCTAACAGCAGGAGCTCACCCTGCTCCGTGGATTCAAACTGCCAACCTTTGGGGTGTCTTTGGGGTGGCCTCATAAAAGGATACATCACTGCCAAAGCATTCCATTTATGGTCAACATAGCTACTCATGCAGTTTGTTCTCTGCATATGCTCCATTTGCTCCTGCTGAGTGAGTGAGATATGTGCAATGTGCCTTCAGGTTAGGCTGGATTTACACTGTCATATAATATGATCCAAACTGCATTATATGGCAGTGTAGATTCAGCCTTAGGGACATCTCACCACTTGCTTGTGCTCTAATTCTTGGATTTTCCAAACTGAACACAAAGGAGCAGGAAACCCAGATCCACATCCTCCCTTCCTGGTTCCCCTTAAAACTGTCTGAGAAGAGAATGGATGACACCAGGACTGCTGTGAGTTTTCCGGGTTGTATGGCCATGTTCCAGAAGCATTCTTTCCTGACATTTTACCCACATCTGTGTCAGGCATCCTCAGAGGTTGTGAGGTCTGTTGGAAACTAGACAAGTGAGGTTTATATATCTGTGGAATGTCCAGGGTGGGAGAAAGAACTCTTGTCTGCTTGAGGCAATTGTGAATCAAGGACCATGAAAGGCACTGCAGACTAAATCAACCTGAGAAGTCAGCTATAGCAGAGCACCTGATGAACCAATCAGGACACAGCATATTATTCGAAAATACATAAATGCTGGACCCCTCTAACACTACCATGTCAGACTACACAGGAAGCCACTGAAAACAAGCATGTGGACAATTTCAACAGATAGGAGGAAATCATGAAAATTAACACAATCTGTTTTTTTTTAAAAAAACTATAAAATCAGGACAGTAAATAAAGAACAACACTCCAAAACAGGGGAATTCCAGACAAGAAACAATCGGGGCCAGTTAACACCTCCCAACAAAGGATTCCCCCAGGCAGGAAGCAGCAAAGCTTTGAAGCTGCAAGGCTATTCAGTACTAATGAAGGTGGCCAATTGTAATATTCTTACTTTCCACAAGCAAACAAGAGGCTGAATCTACATTGCCATATAATGCAGTTTGAAGACTCAGTGATTCTGGCCATGAAAGCCTTCGACAACACACTGATATCAGGATGTTTGCCACGCTCAGGTTGCATCTGCACTGTCGAATGAATGCAGTTTGACACCCCTTGGACCGCCATGGCTCAGGGCATGCAAGGAAGCTGTAGTTTGGGAGGCTCCAGGACTCTTGGGTAAAGAAGGCTAAAAACCTTGCAAAACTACAGCTCCAATGATTGCACATCACTGAGCCAGGGCAGTTACAGAGGTGTTGAACCACATTCATTCTACAGTGACAGTGTAGATGCACCCACCAGGATTTGAACCTCCCACTCAGCCTTCTGTGTGTCAAGTTTGGTTCAGTTCCATTGTTGATGGAGTTCAGAATGCTCTTTGATTGTAGATCAAATGGCAAAATCAATCTTTCCAACCCCACCACTATTCAGATTTGGTCATATCGGGTATTTGTGCCAAATTTGGTCCAGTGAAAGAAAATACATCCTGCATATGAGATATTTACATTATGATTCATAAGAGTAGCAAAATTACAGTTATGAAGTAGCAACGAAAATACTTTTACGGTTGGGGGTCACCACAACATGGGGGACTGTATTAAGGGGTGGCGGCATGAGGAAGGTTGAGAACCACTGCCCTAGAGAGAAGAAGCAGCCCAGAAAGTGGGGAAGAGGGGGCCTCTTTCTTTCTGTATCCTTTCCCTTTCTTTGGAAAAATAGGCTCTGTCAGTGGAGAGGGGCTACTCACAGGAGGCCTGGGGGCTTTCTCCACGTCCTCCGGCCCCGAGGAGGAGGCGATGGGCACCTTTTCCAGCTCCTTCTGGGCCATCTTTCCAGCTCCAAGTCCGCCTCCGGCCGGCTTCTCCCCCTGCGGCTCCTGCAGCCCCGACGGGACGCGCAGAGAAGGAAGGAAAGGAGGGAGGGAGGGAGTGAGGGAGGGAGAGCAAGGGGGAAAGAGGGGAGGCCCCAACCGGCTACGAGACGATGGAGACAAGGCAGCCCTTTCAGTGAGGACCGTTTGCCTCTTGCTTTGCCAAAAAGGGAGCGAAGCAGGACTGCTCCATCTCTGGTGCAGAGAAGAAGGGTCTCTGGGGTTAGATTCCTTTGCAACAAAGCGCCAGGACCCCAAATAGTAGGAATCAGGGCCACATTTTGAGGATGAGCTCGCAGGCCCCTGCCTTCAAGCTGATCTGACCACGCAGCAGGGAGTTCCCCAGTTCCTGCGAGCATAGACTTTCAAGATGAAAAGGGGACTGTGGCTCCAGCAGCAGCTTCAATACAGAATCCTGCTAGATTCCCCCTGCTTCATTGTAACATTTTAATATTTATTGTGTCAGGAGCAAACCAAACAGTTGTATTGCATTTTTTAACAAACAAACAAACACAAAGTTTGCAAGCTTGGTAGTTGATTAAATGCCCTTTGACCAGTAGCTGGCCACTTGGAGTGCCTCTGGTGTTGCCGCAAGAAGGTCCTCCATTGTGCATGTGGCAGGGCTCAGGTTGCATTGCAGTAGGTGGTCTGTGGTTTGCTCTTCTCCACACTCGCATGTCGTGGATTCCACTTTGTAGCCCCATTTCTTAAGGTTGGCTCTGCATCTCGTGGTGCCAGAGTGCAGTCTGTTCAGAGCCTTCCAAGTCGCCCAGATTTCTGTGTGCCCAGTGGGGAGTCTCTCATTTGGTATCAGCCATTGAATATCAAGCAAAAAGTTAGAAACAATATCATACGAAAGCTGACTGGCACAACCTGGGGATCACAACCAGACACAGTGAAGACATCTGCCCTTGTGCTATGCTACTCTGCTGCTGAGTATGCATGCCCAGTGTGGAACACATCTCACCATGCTAAAACAGTAGATGTGGCTCTTAATGAAACATGCCGCATCATCACGGGGTGTCTGCGCCCTACACCACTGGAGAAATTACACTGCTTAGCCGGTATTGCACCACCTGACATCCGCCGGGAAGTAGCAGCCAATAGTGAAAGGACCAAGGCAGTGACATCTCCAGCTCATCCCTTGTTTGGGTATCAGCCAGCACGTCAATGACTTAAATCAAGAAAGTTTTCTAAGATCTACAGAGACACTCGCTGGAACACCTCAGCAAGCGAGAGTCCAAAAGTGGCAGGCTCAAACCCTGAACCTCAGCCCAATGCTTATTTATTTTATTTATTTATCGTGTCATCAGCAACCAGACTTTTGTATTACATTTTTAACAAAAACAAACAAACAGACAAAACACAGAATTTGCAAGCTTGGTAGTGGATTAAATGTCCTTTGACCAGTATCTGGCCAGTGATGAAGATGGAGAATAAGGTTGGGGCAATAACACATCCCTCTTTGACACCTGATTCCACCTTAAATGGTTCACTTAAGCTGTCCAAGACTGTTGCCATCAGGTCATCATCCCCACACATATACATTGAATGGCAATGGCAATACCATCTCCCTTACAGAGTTGCAAGGATTTCACTTGTGTGAAGTCCCTTGGACATTGTGAAATGTTGCATCAGTGTAACATTTTGAAGACTTTTCCTGCTGTGCATCACTGAATCCTAACAACATTAATTGAAATCACTGCCAAGTTATGGCAGATTCGTTTTCTGCCCATTTTGCCTCAGAGAAGATGGCCTTTTTTCCCTGGTCCATTTCATCCCACTGAGGGTCGACCCTGCATATTTTAAGAAGCCACATTTCCGTGGCTTTTAAAAATCCTTGCAACAAGACCTGGTCAGCTGCCAGGAACTTGTTTCCAAAATACAACACTTGCATTTTTTTAAAGTGGCATTTCTGTTCAGTGATTATATTTGTGGGAAACTCTACCAGAAATATTTCAGGCTTAGCACCCTGTTAACCCCAGGGCATTCAAAGATTGTCACTGGAAATAAGGATTTAGACTTCAGCATGTGTGTTTAATTTTAGGGTTTACTAATGTTATTTTCACATCATCTTGGTTTCCATACCTTTGATAATAGAACAGTATGACATAGGTATCCACAGTTGATACATTCAAGCACTCCAAGGATACCTGAATTCGTAGATAATAGTGAACCCTTTATTCTGACTCTAATTGAGCTGGAAGCATACCATAGAATTGCAGTGAAGGACTTAAAGAGGCCCACATAACTTCCAGGGTAAATATTTTTTGGCATCTGGGTAAGTGAAACTGTGGATATTGAATCTCTGGATAAGGGGGTTATACTGCACAACAGTGCTGGAGGGGAGGTGGATAATAATAATAATAATAATAATAATAATAATAATAATAATAATAATCTACTTTATATTCCACTCTATCTCTCCGAGGGGACTCAAAGTGAATTAGAGAATACATTTATGGAAAATATTCAATGTCATTATACAATTTACAAACAAAGACAGACAGTATATAGACAGAGGCAAGACTTCCCTCTTTTCATTTCTGGCATCTGGAGGCTGTGCTCGACTCGGTCATGGGGAGGTGCTGTTGTTCCATGTTTCCACGCCGAGGAGCCTGTTGTCCTTCCTGATTGAATTGCTGGTATGTCTTCAGGGGCACCTTTTACCTCCCCGCAAAGTGGTATTTATTTATCTACTCACATTATTGTTTTCAGACTGCTAGGTAAGCTGAAAGCTAGGCAGGACATGGGGAGGTGCTGTTGTTCCATGTTTCCACGCCGAGGAGCCTGTTGTCCTTCCTGATTGAATTGCTGGTATGTCTTCAGGGGCACCTTTTACCTCCCCGCAAAGTGGTATTTATTTATCTACTCACATTATTGTTTTCAGACTGCTAGGTAAGCTGAAAGCTAGGCAGGACCTCACTCCATCTGCAGCTTGAGCTCCAACTGTTTTTCTTATTGATATTAACCTTTACTCCTCTGAGTGTGTTGATTTATGAAACATTGCCTCATTGGGAAAGGTTTCCCAAATCAGGACCTGAAGAAATAGAAATAGTTATTTTTTCTTTTAATATATTTAATAAAATATACATATAATAAAACACACATAACAAAAACAAACTATAAATTACAAATGACATATGATATCTCTACACACAAATCTGAATGAATGAATATAAAAAGGAATGATAACTAATACACACATAAAAGATGCCTTCCCGCTATCTTTTCTGGAGTTAAAGTTATCTCTTAAAAACAATCTCTCTCTGTCCTATCTATAAAACACACTTAATTTACATACTTAACTCATATTAGTTTATTTATTTATTTATTTACAGCATTTATACACCACCCTCCTCACCCCAAAGAGGACTTAGAGCAGGTCACAGAACACACATACGGCAAACATTCAATGCTGATTACACAATTTGCAAGGACAGAACACACAAGCACAGGTAAAGGCAGTTTTTCCCATCTTATTTCCGGCATCTTGGAGGCTGTGCTCGACTCTAGCTGGGGAGGGGGATGCTGTCACTCCATCTTCCATGCCGAGGAGCTTTCTTCCTATTGATGTCCTTTAATGGTTCCTTTTATTACCTCCCTGCTAAAAGCAGTTCTTATTTTATCTACTTGCATTTCTGCTTTCAACCTGCTAGGCAGGCAGGTGAGCTGTGACTTTTGTTAATGAAATTAACCCAAATCACCTGCATGTGTCATATAGCTATCATAGACCTTATTCACCACCACCCCTTAGGTATAAAGTGACATTGAAGATGCATCCATAGATGAGATAAAGAGAGAGTGGCAAGCATTGGATTTGCCAGTGTATATATCAGTACAGCAGAGGTGGTAACTCGGAGGCCTCCAGACATTGTTGGACTATGAGTCCAGCAGCCTAGTCAATGGAGAGTAATGCTAGAAATTGCAGCCAAAAAACACCTGGAATTATGTGTTATTCCCACCCAGGTTTTCTTTTCTTTTTTTTCATATCAGGAGTGACTTGAGAAGCTGCTAGTTGTTTCTGGTGTGAGAGAATTGGTGGATGTTTTACCATCCTGTGGGAACCTTCTCTCATGTCCCCGTATGAGAAGTTGGGGCTGACAGATGGGAGCTCACTCACCAGCATGAGGGTTAACCCATTGTGTGTCAAGTGTTGTGTGCCCAGGAAGGAAAATGAGATTGTTGTGAGTATTAGCACCTCTGAATGTTGGACAGAAGTGAGGGTGGGATGTGTTTTTTAAACTATTGCCACACATGGAAGTTTCCTGCTATTCAAGAGGTGGTAAGATTCCAGCCAAATGTGCAAAACCTGTACTTGGGGTTTGAGGGATCATTTCTGTTCTTTTTTGCTTGCAGACATGTTTTTCTCTCTTTGTTTTTGTCAACCTGGGGTAGGAATTATAGGTGTGGCAATTAGACTTGAGCCCAAATCAGTTTGAATGAAAATGATTTGGAATATTTGGTGAGCCATTTTGTATAATATCCAAAAGCAGAATGGCGAGGAGGTAGCAAACAAAACAGATTAAGGGAACCAGATTTTATAAGTTCCTGGAGAGGAAGGAGTTAAGGCTGCACACCTGAGGCAGGGATCTGCCGCATCTTTTCTTTTTGCCCTCCCCAGCAGATGAAGCATCTGTCCATTTCTTTTTTGGAAAGTTTCCTAGGCTCCTGCTCCAGAGAGGGCCCTGCTGCCCTTCTGGGAACTTGTTTTCCCAGCAGCCAGGGGCAGCTCAACCCATTACGCAAAGTAAGCATTTGCAGTATAGTTGATTTTGCCCAGGGGCACTCTTGAGGCACTCTTGGGGGGAAAATAGACCTTGACATATGCGAGTTGTAGTTACTGGGATGTATAGTTCAATCAAAGAGCATTCTGAACTCCACCAATGATGGAATTGAACCAAATATGGCACACAGAACTCACACGACGAACAGAAAATATATATCAATGATTGGTTGGGGGGGGGGGCGCCAAAAGACTGTTTGCTTACCGTTGAAAATAACTTAGGGCCGCCTCTGCCAGCAGCACTTGCATA